TATAACTTTGAACTAATTCAAATCATATTCATAGAATCAATTTCTATCATATTAATAGAAATTCATTTTTGGTTTTATATTGTTTTAATATTTCATGAAAGCAATTTCTTCAGTTACACAGTGATGGGACTGGTCCCTCCCTCTTTACCTGGATGGAGTAATGCTGTCTGGTTGATGTCTCCATCTCTAGTCTCTCCCTTCCTAAACTATCCTGCACACAGTCATCAGATAAACTCTCCACAAGTGGTTTGCAAAGACCAGCATTTCCTGGGAAATTATTGAAGATGCAAATTCTTGGTCCCACTCTAGACCAACTGAATCAGTAACCACGAGGGCGGATTCGGAACTGAGTTCTAAGGCGCCCTCTCAGTGATTGTGATGCAGATCTATCTATAGCACTGCTGCGGTAACACGGTTCCCCATGATGGCTCCTCAGCTTGGCATTCAAAGCCCTAGAAAATCTGGTTCCAATTTCCTACTCTCCCTCCTTGTACTCTACAGGTACTCATGGCATTCCTCAAATACCTTCCTGTGATTTGCCCTTCTCCCATTTTCCTTTTGCAAGTTTAGAATATTTTCCCCAAGATGTCTGTCCGATGTTACACGATGGCCCTTCAAAGTCCTATTCAAATGGCATTGTTCTAGTAACATCCTCCTGGGTCCAAATTGAAGGCATTTTCTCCTCTTCTGTGCTCCAGAAATAATTTATCCCTCCTATGCTGCAGAAACAATGTATCCCTCCTAGTGCCCACATCCATTTCTTCCTTTTAATGTAGTTATTTTTTATCCCATTTCTTCTGAGCATAAACTCCTTGCAAGCATGGACTAGGTCTTCTCATCCGCATTGCCCACCATGTTTAAAACTGACACGTGGAAATAAAGCAAACTCAAATATTTGTAAAATAAATGAATAGCTGGGGGAGTGAATAGAAGGAAAATGACTATTTTAAAGGAAATGTAGTTTTATTACTTCATGGCCTCTGTAGCGCTTTGGCATCCACTTGAGGGTCTTTACACCCACTTTCCTTAAGCCTTCTACATTTGAAAGAATCTGTTTGCAAAAGAGCATCGCTGATGAGCTTAATAAGGATTAATGACATACACACTTCTATGGACAAAGGATAAGAATCAAGCTTTCATAGCAATGAACATGGTATCTTCTTGTCTCTAAACAGACAGAAATACTATGCGGGTATCCCTTTCTTGGTAACAGGGCTGAGGAGATAGTTATTTTGTAATTAGTGAAAAGTCAGGGGCATTTCTGGTATACTTCTGAGTGTAAACATTTCTAGCTCTACCACTTAACCATCATTTTAAACATCTGTTTTCATATAATAATTCCTGAACTGAAATCCTTAATACCAGTCTATTCTCTTGGTAGCTCAATATTCTTGATAATATTATTTACATAATTCAGCTGATTTTTAATATTTAAATGTTAATTTAATTCCGATTAAATTACCAAAAAAACTCTGGATTAATGATGTTCAAATGAATGTAGGTGGTCTATATTTTCTTCTCCTTTAGGCAACAATCTGAAGTTAACTTTAATTCCTTTCGTCCTACTAAACCAACTTTTTCAAATCTCTTTTTTGTGAAGTCAGACAGTAAATATTTTAGACTTTTTGGGCCACATGTGATCTCTGTCACATATTTCTCTTTGTTTCTTTTCTTTTTCTTTCACAGTCCTTTAAAAATGCAGAAACCATTCTTAACTTAATGAACTATTTAAAAATAGACCATAGATTAGATTTGATTTATTGGTTGTAGACTGAATAGAAGAAGATGGTGTGTGAACACTTATAAAACAAGGTTCATACGGGTGTCAGTCACTGCTCAGATCTTCTTACTATATGAAATTTTTTTCTGTCTGTATTGTGTCTCGATAATTTAAAAACTGAAAATGCATAGGATGTAGCTAATGCTAGAGATGGGCTGAGACCCTACACAAACTTACAGAATTGCAGAATTTTGTTGCTGGAAGAAATCTTAGAGATTATCTAATTTGAACCCCTTATTCATTTTACAGATAATTTGACTAAAAACTCATAAATGTGATTAACTAACTTACAAATACTGGAGGGATAGCAGGCCTTCAAATGAATCCTTATGTAATTCAGTCAAATAATTTTCATTGAGAATTCTGGAAAATGAAAAAGTTATTTCTAGATTAAAATGCAAAGTACAACTATTTGCCGCACAGGACTATGTCCTGCATGTGGGGGAAAGCTGGGTCATGGTCATTTTAACACAGTGGTATCTGCTCTGCTTTCATTCAAACCTTTTCTTACATTTTCCTTTTGGTGTCCATCTCTCTCCACCACCACCACCACCACCACACACACACACACACACACACAAGCACACCTCTACCCACTCTTTTCACCAAACTGTATATTTCATGCCTCCTCTCTAGATCACAAAATCCCTTTCAGAATCCACCTCTGGGTGGCACCAAGATCAGCAGAACCTCCATTTCCTCCTCTTTCTCTAAACCTTAGTATGAAAGCCCCACATGGAACCATGTCAGGGCTGCAAGTGAAGCCATTCAACCCTTTTCCCCCATTAAAAAAAAATATGAGAACTACAATGTGCATAAAGTGCACAGGACATCAATGTTCTTTATATTTAATTTAATTTAATTTCTGAGACAGGGTCTCACTCTGTTCCCAGACTGGTCTCAAACTCCTGGCTCAAGTGATCCTCCTGTCTCTGCCTCCCAAAGTGTTGTGATTGCAGACATGAGCCACCTCACCTGGCCAAATATTCAGTTTA